ACCAGACCTCAACTCCTGGGCTCCAACAATCCTCCAACTCCAGCCTCCATGTGTGTGAGTAGCTGGACACAGCCAATGCCACCATGCTTCTCTTAGGTGTTAATTTCTTGTTTTTGTTTTGTTGTGGTTTTCCCTTTTTGGTTTTTTTGCTTTGAGCAGGGGTCTCAGTCTCTCCAGGCTGGAGTGTAATGGTGTGTTGATCTTGGCCTCACTTGAACCCCCTCCGCCTCCCAAGTTTCAAAGCAATTTCCTGCCTCAGGTTCTCCAGTAGCTGGGACTCGATTCGCGGGCCACAACCCAGCTAGATTTATTTGTATTTAGTAGAGCAGGTTTGCACCTGTGTGCCCGAGGTGGGGTAGACCTCAATCTGAACTCAGGCAATCGCCCTCGCCTCCCAAAGTGTTAGGGATTTACAGGCGTGAGCCAACGGGTTCGCGCCCGAACCCCCCCCTTTTTTTTTGTTTTTTGGCAAGTCTCCTCTGTCACCAAGGCTCGAGTGCAGTGGTGCGTGGCACACGCGATCTCGGCTTACGCCAACCTGCTGTCCTCCCAGGTTCAGCTGATTCTCTCGGCTAGCCTCCTGAGTAGCTGCGAACTAACAAGGCGTGACCGCACACACAAGCAAATTTTGTTTTTTTAGTAGAGACAGGTTTACCATGTTCGTCCAGGGTTGGTCTCGACTCCTGACTTTCAAGTGCTTCCACCTGTACCTGTCTTGGCCTCCCAAAGTGCTGGGACTACAGGCGTGAGCCAACGTGCCCGGCCGTGTCAATGTTTTTAAAGATACATGCTTTATAACTTGATGGCTAGACTTAGAGTGAAGAAGCAGGTCTGAGGCTAAGCAATGAGGTTTATATTTTAGGAGCAGAGCTTGCACTAAGGGAAAGGGTTTAGAACTATAACTCCAGAGGATAAATTTAACAGCAAAAGTCAGGATGCGGGATGCAAGAGATGAACTTGCAAGATGGAAGAAAGGGTGAGGGTTGGATCTTTGCTAGTGAGAGAATGACTTCAGCAGAGGGAGAGTTTAGAAACCAGGAGAGAGAGCAGTGCATGGATTGAAAAGTAGGTATTAAATGAAAGGCATTGGCCAGGCGTGGTGGGCTCACACCTGTAATCCGCACTTTGGGAGGCCGACGGCGGGCACTCAGAAGGTCAGGAGTTGAGCCAGCCGTAACAACATAGGAAACCCCGTTTCTACTAAAATAAAAATTAGCTGGGCGGGTGGCGGAACTCGTTCATTCCAGTACTAGGAGTGAGGCAGAGAGAATTGGATTGAACCCGGGAGGGAGTTGCGTGAGAGCGATATCTGCACAACTGCACTCCAGCCTAGGGCAACACAGCGAGACTCCATCTCATAACGAAATAATAAGTAAATAAATAGAGGGGCTGCAAAGATAAGCATTAATAGCAAAAGGCATTGGGCCAGGCGCGGTGAGCTATAGAAGCATATAATCCCACTCTTTGGCGTGTCTGAGGAGACCAGGTAGGTTAGCTTGTAG